ACCCCCCTGTCCTTGCAAACTGCCTCCCTGCAAACAAGGAACCAGTTCTCCTGGACATTTCTCCAACACTCAAGGTCTTTTGAAGCTGCTCTCGTGGCACCAAACCTGCTCGGGGTCTCTCCCACCTGTTGGCTCTCCGTGGAGTTAACAGGCACACACTCCATTCCCTCCTCCCCCAGCCAAACCCAATTCTCACCGGCAGGACGGGCCCTGCCCTTACCTGTCCAAGCTCCCAGCTCGGCACAGCCGTGGGGACAGAGCAGCTTCCCACGGCAGCTCCCGCCCGGCAGGAAGCACAACTCGCCACACTCCACCAGCCGCTGGGCACGGACCTGAGCTGAGCCCCAGGGAGGGCACAGCTGGACAGAGAAGGAGCAAAGAGCATTAATGCAGCACCGAGAAACTGAGACCAGTCTTTGCCTCCTAACCCTGCACGGGGAAAGACTTTGGAATTCCAAAGCAAAACCTGAGACACCCAGAGAGCAACAGCCCCGCAGCGCTGCCACGGCCCCCCCCGGTGGCACCCGGCAGGTAACGGGCTTACCCGGCCCCCACTGCCCAGCACAAGGCGCCCCTAAACGCCCCCCGGCTCCCCCGGTCACAAACCCAGCGGCCAAGGCGCTCTCCCCTCCGCAGCCCGGGCAGCAGCGGGGCCGCACCCTCAGCCCTCACACGCAACCGGCCCCACCCGCCCCGCCGGCCCTTTATACCGCGGCCCGGCAGCGCTGCCCAATCAGCGCTCGAGCGCCTCCGCCCAATCCCAGCCCGCCCGGCCCTGCGGCCCCGCCCCGCCCGCTCAGCCCGGCCCCGCCCCTCGGCGCGGCCACGCCCCCCGTTCCCTCAGCGCGGCTCCCGCCGGGGCCGGGGAAGGGCGGTGGGAGCTCCGCGGTCACGGCCCGGCCGGGAGCTCTCCCGGGACAAGGGGAGCGGGGCCTGTGGGGACAGCGGCCTTCTTGGGGACGGGCCGGGCGGGGCCGGGCGGGCCGGCGCGAGCCGGGGGGCGGGTCGAGGGGCGGGGTCGGACGGGCCTGGGGGCGGGCCTGGGGGCGGGCCTGGGGGCGGGCCTGGGGGCGGGCCTGGGGGCGGGCCTGGGGGCGGGCCTGGGCGGGTGGAGGGGCGGGTCCGGCGCGATCCCGCGGCGCTTCGCTCTGGGCTCTGGGGCTGCTCCGGGCGGGTTTTGGGGCACTGCGCACACCCTGCCCTGGTCACAGCCCCGCCCCAGCTCGCTGCGCTCCCCGCACCCCTCGCTCAGCTCCGCGGGGATTTGTGCCTCCTCCGAAGGTGGCAAATGTCCGCAAAGCCAGTCGGGAAGCCAGAGAGCTGCAGCCCCCGGGCCCCGCCGCGGCTTCCCCGCCCTCCCCCGGCCCCTCCCGCCCGTCCCGCCCCGCAGCGCCGCTCCCGCTGCCGCCCTCGAACCCAAGTGATGCCTTAAGCCCCTAATGGTTTTTTTATTTTTCTAATATTTGTAAGATTTATAAATTTTATAGGTAGGTTTTAAAAGCAGAAACCCCTTTGTGCCTTGTTCCTTTCCCTTGTTTACACATTCCCTAACCCTCTTACCCCATTCTATGCCTTCTATATCAACCTACCCCTGAATCCAGTAGCAGTGTTTAGTCTTTTGTCAAGGCAAAGGCCTAGACTGTTTGGAGAACAGCGTATCAGGGCCTAAACCACAGAGTACGGTCAAAAACTAGGTAACAATGTACCCTTTGTACTCTGATGAAGTTGAAGATGATGAAGTAAGTGGTCCCAAAAAGACCCCAGACCCAATTCTCAGGGGGAGGGCCCGGGGCGGACCAGAGGAAGGGCCAAAGGGTGGACACATCTGGGATTGGATGGATAATGCTATAAAATGTAACCTCTCGGGCACGGCCGGCGCGCGTCTATATCACCTATTGCCTTGGCAAATAAACCCTTTCTTATCTCACCCCTAATTAACTGCTCCGGAGATTTTTTTCAGCACCAAAATACACTGGCAACACAAGGAACGACCCCCGTGCCCCCAGCACAGGCCGGTCCCTCCCCGGCAGCCTCGGCAGCGCCGGGAGCGGCCGCAGCCCCCAACGCCGGGCGGGGCCGCGCGGGGCGGGGGCGGGTCCCGCGGCTGCGACCCCGCGGGGAAGGGACCCCCGGGCCGGCCCCGTCCGGCCCCGCCGCTGGCCCTGATCGGGCACCGACCCTCGCGCACAGTTTTAACATTAGAGAGCCAAGTTTAATCCAGAGCCTGCAAGCTCCCAAGTGCAGGGCATGGCCACAGACTTGTTATTTTTCTCTTTTTAATGACCGCGTTGCCAAAGTGGGGGAAACACAATCAGCATTACCTAAACAGCATCACAGCATCTCCAGGGCACGGAGGGACCGCCGAGAGGGGGCTGCCCTCGCCGGTGCCTGCTGCCGCCCACGAACCTGCCGCCCGCGCCCTACGCCGCCGATCGCCCCGCCCTGTCCCCACAGCGGGAAGCGGCGCGGCGAGACGGCGCTGCGGGCGCGGGGCGGGGATCCGGGTCGGGGCGGAGGTCAGGGAACAGGTAGGACGCCTCTCTGAAGCAAGGGGGGCCTCTCACCGCCATCTTTAGTGTGGTTTCGACTAAATTCCGGTCCTGGCGGCGCCATCTTTACTGTGGGTTAGGGACGAACTTCCGGGCTGGGGCCGCCATCTTTTTGTACGGCCTTGGAGGACTTCCGGTCCTGGCGCCGCCATCTTTCTTTCTGGGTAGCCTCGGACGACTTTCGGTCCGAGAGGGCGCCATCTTTGGTGGTGCGCCGTCGAAAACAGTCCGGTCGGTCTCTACTTCCGGTACCCGACTTTATCCGAATTAGCGTCTCTCGCTAATTTCTGCGCTTTCGCCCCAAAAATCTTCACGTTATTCCCCCCACGCACACCCTGGGAGAGACGGAAGACCACAAGTCCCGCCGTTCCGCCGGAATCGGCTCTTAAATTGAGCGGGGAGCGCTGCAGCGGCACGAGAACCACTGCGCATGCGTCGCCGGTCCCCCTCCCGGCCGCCCTTAATTACCGCGTGATCGCCGGCGTCTTGCCAAGGACTGCGCATGCGCCGGCGTCGCCACCTTGGCTGCCCCCCCCCCCCGACGTTCCGGCTCCCCTCTCTCACTGCGCGCGCCTCGCCCGCTGTTCCGGGGCCCCTCCCTGACGTTTCGCGGCTCCCCCTCCGCTTTTGCGGCTCCCTGGGGTTCCCCCACCCACGTTTTGGGGGCCCCTTCTCACAGTTTAGGGGTGACCCCCAAGTTACGGGGCGGAGGGCGGGGCCGGGGGGGCGGGGAGTAAACGGGGCACCCAAGAAGGGTTTCTTTTTCTCTTTTATTTAATTTTATTTCCTTTTTAGTTTTCTTGCCTTTTTTTTTAATGTTCTTTTCTATTTTTTTCTTTATTTCGTTTATTTTTTGTTCTCTTTATTTTTCATTTTCTTTTCTTTCTCCTTTGGTTTTTATTTTTTTATTTCTTATTCTTCCAGAGAGGGAAACACTGCAGCTCCTCTGGGCCAGAGAAAGGCTCCCCTGCCCTTCCCTTAAACACAACGCCTGCAATGAGTACCCTGCAAGCCCGCTCTGCTCCTGCCAGGCACTGGGGCTCACCCAGGGGGGCTTTGCCAGCACCCAATGGAAATTAAAATTACAGCCTGGGCAAAGGCACTTCCAGCAGGACCGCTCCTGGCCAAGGCCACCGGGCTGTGCAAGTCAGACCAGTGACCACCCGGGGGGATTTTCAGGGGGATACTTCCAGCTTTTATTCCCCAGAAACTCCAGTTCTTCCTGGCCCCGCTTGCTTCAGTCCTCCCCTGTTGGAAGAGGTCACACAGTCTTTCTGGGGGCCAGACTGCCAAAGCCCGGCCGGTCCATTCCCTCCACACCCCCGCGCTCAGGGGCCGAGGGGCAGCCCTGCCCCGCACAGACCCCGGGCTCGCCTTCAGCCCGTCTGTGCCAGGGCTGGAGCGATCCTGCCATCAGCCCGTGGCCACGAGGGGCACAGAAAGCCCAGGGCCAACAGCAGCTCCAGGCAGCTGCAGGCAGAGGTTATCCCTTCCCAGCTTTTTGGCAGTGGGGGGAAGGTGCCTTTCCCCGGCCGGCAGCGGCATCGTCCCCGCCGCAGAGCCCGCCCCGATCCTGGGCCGCCTTGGAGACAATTCCCCGTCCCAGCCCGCCTCCTGCAGAAAACTGTTCGGGTTGAACGCGTTCTTTGTTGTATTTTTAAATGTTTATTTTGTCGTTAAACTTCGTTATTATTCTCTCGAAAGCCCGGGGAAGGCGGCCACCCCCCCCCATCCCCACCGCACCCCCCGCCCCGGCCGGTCCCCGCCCCTGCCCTGCCCGGCGGCCCCGAGCGCTGCAGCCCCGTGCCTGCAGAGAAGAAAGGGAGAGATTGGACATGGGGAAGACCTTCTTCCCTGGGAGGGTCGGGAGGTGCCCTGGCACAGCTTGCCCAGAGGAGCCGTGGCTGCCCCATCCCTGGAAGTGGCCAAGGCCAGGCTGGACGGGGCTCGGAGCCACCCGGCACAGCGGGGCTGTCCCTGCCTGGGGCAGGTGTCCCCGAACGAGAGCATCCTTGAGGGCTCCTCAGACCCAAACCACGCCAGGTTTCCGTGAGGATTCCCACGAGGATTCTGTGAGCTCTCCCTGCCGTTCGTTTGGCATCGCTTCCTCTCCAACTTCAAAAGGAATAATTTTTAAATTATTCCGGAAAGAAAAGGGGGAGTGTAAAACATACAAGGATGACTCTTATGTCCACCAAATCATTCGAATTGGAAGCCTATGACCTCACCTCTGCCCTCGTTACTGTTTCCTGGAAAACGCTACGATCCCGCAGTTTCGAAGACAGATCCACGGGAATGACCAGATTTGCTCTGACAGAGCTCGCGCCGGCCCCGCCCCCCGGCCCGCCCTGCCCGTCCCCAAGAAGGCCGCTGTCCCCGCAGGCCCCGCTCCCCTTGTCCCGGGAGAGCTCCCGGCCGGGCCGTGACCGCGGAGCTCCCACCGCCCTTCCCCGGCCCCGGCGGGAGCCGCGCTGAGGGAACGGGGGCGGGGCCGCGCCGAGGGGCGGGGCCGGGTGAGCGGGCGGGGCGGGGCCGCAGGGCCGGGCGGGCTGGGATTGGGCGGCGGCGCTCGAGCGCTGATTGGGCAGCGCTGCCGGCCCGCGGTATAAAGGGCCGGCGGGGCGGGTGCGGGCGGTTGCGTGTGAGGGCTGAGGGTGCGGCCCCGCTGCTGCCCGGGCTGCGGAGGGGAGAGCGCCTTGGCCGCTGGGTTTGTGACCGGGGGAGCCGGGGGGCGTTTAGGGGCGCCTTGTGCTGGGCAGCGGGGGCCGGGCTTTTTGGTGCTGCGTTAATGCTTCTTGCTCGTTCTGTGTCCATTTGCAGCCTGGCTCGTGGTTTCCCCTGGTGCGGAGGCGAGTTGTGCTTCCTGCGGGGAGAGAGAAGGGCCTTGGGAAGCTGCTCCATGAGCCACAGCTGTGCCCAGCCCGGAGTCTGTCCAGGTAAGAGCAGGGCTTATACTGCCAGGGAGGAGCTGGGTTTGCTGTTGGAAGGTAGAATGTGCCCGTGCCTTTAAATGCAAGGACAGGCAGAAGCGGGGAGGGACCCTGAGCAGGTTTGGTGGCACGGCAGCAGTTTGAAAAGCCCTTGACTGTGGGAGAAGGGTCCAGGAAAAATGATTCCTGTTTTGCAGGGAGGCAGTCTGCAAGGACAGGGGGGTTGCTGTTGTGAGAAATAGAAACCCAATCGGGTAATTTCCAATCAGAATTTATTATATGATAAAAGCAAATTCAGCGCTGGGTGATCAGGGAAGGGGTTCAACAACTCCCAACGCCTGTCACACCCAAAGGAGACATTTGTTCTACATTTATTTCCAGCTACTACATGAATATTCATTATACGTAAGTCTAAACATTACACATTGTTAGGTACATGAGTATAAACATTACACATTGTTAAATCAGACTTTCAGCAGGTGTTCGCTTGTTATCTATACAAAGTTATAAATTTTAAGAAAGGTGCTATTATCTAGCTAACTAAACAAAATTCTCTCACTATAAATCCTACACAAGGTAAAAGGGAGGTAACCTGTTTTATCTCTTTAAAGGGGCCCAATTAAGTTTTATGGCTTGTTTTTCTTTTCTCTTCAGGTCATAGTGACCTTACACTGTGTTCTCTTAATCAGCTCGAATCATTTTCTCAGTTTATCCCACTGTGCTCTCTAGCAAAACTACTGCCCTTGGGATGTGCAGGGGGAGGAAATGTTGGCCCCGTGTGGGCTGGAGCAAAGGTGTGTGGGTGCCTGTGTGTGACAGCCGTGGGTGTGCAGGAAGGGGGTTCTGGTGCCACTGGAGCTGCCAGGGAGCCAAAAGGGGCACAGTTGTCTGAAAAAGGCAAAAAGTCTCAGCCCCTGTTGACACCTGTACCAAAGGAGATGCAAATTTTCCCCTTCTTGGTTGCACAAAGCTCCCAGCAAAGGAAGCTTTAGATTCCAACTCCCCTTTATGCTAAAGGTTTCCTTGCTCTCTCAGCAGGATGTCGAGTGCCACCGTGTCCCTGAGGTCACCCTTTCTGCTGTTGGGAGAGCACGAGGTGGATGGAGAGGATCCCCAGGCATCTGCAGGCACAAGGGACTGGCACAGCTGTGATTTTCCTCCAGCCCTCGTGAGAGGGACTTTCAGGGTTCCATGGGTCATGTGCCAGCTCTCCTGCTGGAGCTTTTGTCTGCTGTATTTGAACACAAAGAGTAGAACTAAAGTCAGGTGTGTTCTGGAGCCTGTTACACTTGTGCAAAGCTCCTTCCCTCTGCTTATTTTCTGTTCTGGAAAGCACAGTCCGGGGTTCCTGGGCACTTGGTATTAAATGATACCATGGAAGTAATTTTGTAGTGAAAGGGGAAAGGAGCTGTCTGTGGGAGGTCAGGTGTCCCTGATAAAAGCTTTATGCTTTTTCACTCAGTAAACTCTTAAAATATCTTACGGTGTGTAGGAATGCCTGGCTTCTAAAACTCACCAGCTGAGTGTTAGAGGTTTCTCTGAAGAGCTGATTTCAGGCAGCAGAATTGCCCCCCAGGAGGGACTCTGTGCCTGCTCTCCCGTGGCTCCAAGGGATCTCTGGCCCTTCACGCCGGCACCGAGATTTTCTCGGGAAGGGCCTCAGATCCCCGGACCAGTCTGGGACACAGGCAAGATCCCCCTGCAGTTTAGGACCAACTTGGCCCCCCTGTAGGGACAGTGCTGTGGGTGCCCCCCGGGTTGGGGCACCCCGAGGACTCCAGCGCGCACCGAAAGGATTCTTCGGGGAGATCCTCGGGGTGCCCGGCCCTGGGGAGCTCAAAGCAAGGTCCCTGCCATGGATTCAGGCATTGCTGAGAGTATCCCAGGGGTCCCTGTCCCTGCTAGACAGGGAGCTCTCTAATGGGCTGCAATTGGGTGATAAAAGTGGTGCTCCAAGTGCCAAAGAAGTGTGGGATTGGGATTAAGAAATGAGCAGGGAGGGTCCAATTGGCTGTTTTCTCTGGAATGTGACTGTGAGAGCTGCAGGAGTGCCAGGTGTATGTTCCAGTCCCCAGCATTTGGTTTGCACCTGTCCTGCTCAGACACAGGTCCAACTTCCTCAGTCCTTAACCCAAGAGAGGGAGAATTAAGGGCTGGCCGTGTTCAGGTGATTGGTGTGACAGGGGTTAAACTGGGAAAACATTGGGGAATTCCTCAGTTTCTCTATTTGCCAAACTCCCCCAAACCTGTGCTAGGAAGAGATTGTGTGGAAAAGTTGAGTTAGAAATGAAATTGAAAATGGGAATATTGAAACTGTAATTGCTGAAAGTCAATGTGTCCAAGCAGCAGCTCCTGTTGTGCAGGGAATAACTCCTGTCAGCAGCAAGGCCCCGACTGAAGTGGCAGCTGCAGCTGTTCCTGTGGTGTGGGCCAGTGGAACTGCAGGAGAGTGGAGGAGGGCAGAACCTGTAGGTATTACCCCTGGTGTGGGATCTCTCCTGGTAAGGCCAAGCCAGTATCCTTTAAAATCAGAATGGCAGCTTGGATTGGTTGCAGGAACAGCTGAATTTGCTCCTCCTGGTTTGCTTGTAGAAGGTGAATGTAAGAACCTGCCAAGGAAACCAATGGCCAAGGGGATTGATTAGTGCAGGACCTGAGAGAACCCCTGAACTGACAACCTGGAGCAGTTTCCAGGATTAGATTGCAAAGATGGCCTTGGCTGCATGTCCTTGAGCAAGGAAAGCCAAGAAAGCTTTGCTTTTGCAGGAGAAACTGGGGCAAGCAGGCAGGAAGAAGAGAAGCCCCGTGACTCCTCCCTGAGCCCCAGGCAGCCCCTGAACTGCCTCCCTGGGAATGGTGGGACGGGCTGGACTCTGGATTGCTCCCTCTGCATGTGTGGTAAGATGTGTCTGGAACAGAGAGATTTCTCTGAACAGTTTTTCCTGCCCTCTCTAGGCCTTGCTTGCCATGGAAGTGACAGGTGTGTATTGTTTGTACTCAGAGACTGTGTGAAAATATGGGATGGTTGTACTTGTTAGCTGGGTGTCTAATGATAAGGTTTGAGAGCGTAAGATGTTTATAGTAAGAAAACCTTGGGAACCTAGAGATAAAAGTACACCTGCAGATCTAGGAAAAACCCCTCAAAGCAGATTAGTTAGAAAGAGGTTTCTATGCCAAGGATGATTTCAGGTCGCATGGACAGAGCCTCAGATGCAATAAACTGAGAGCATGAGACACGTGCCCAGCCTGAGCTCTGCAATCCTCTGATTGTGAGCATGTACCCTGAGCAAACTAAACTGTATCCAAGGGAACTGATTGAAAGAATAACTTGGACCTTGCTTTGATCACATTGGTCGTGTTGCTGTGTCTCTGCTGTTTGCGAGATCAGGGGCTGGCGACAGTGAGCAGTGTGGAGCAGAGATGGAAAGAGGTTCTGTGAGATGCTCTGATCAAGGAAAACTGTAGTTGTGAACTCCTGACGCATTCCCAGTTCGAACAGATGGGGGAGACAACAGGAGCCATTCAACATGAAATGAGAAGATGCTGTACGAAGCTAAACCTATAATTACTCAGTATGGGTTAAGATCAGGTTATACTACATTTGTGTTACAACATTTTAAGAATAAGCATTATCTCCAAAAATAAGGACATTTTTTTCTTGTTCTTTTTTTTTTCTCTTAGCTCTTTAAACTCTATCTGAGATTCTAGTAGCAAGAATGCTTGTATAAACTAGAGACACTGAAGTCTGTAAGAGTCTGTACTGTTCCTTGCACTGCAGTGTTCTAGGTCTTTTAGTGTGGTACTTTACCATGTGCACTTCCCAGATTTGGACATCTCTAGACATTCCTATTTGTTGTGTCTATTTTTCAAATGTCATGTCTAATGAGAATGAGTAGGGAAAGATAAGTCTAGTTTACAGAAGCCACAAAGAGATAGAATTTTGTTCTGATTGAGAAAACATAATTCTCTTGTGCTTTCTTTTTAAAAAAAAAATTTTTTTGCAAAAAGACCTTTTCCCCTTTAACTTCATAGCATGATTTTTGTAGTGGTCTTTAGCTATTTGAGAAAGCTTTGCAATTCTTAGACCCTTAGACGAAATATTAGGGCTTAGTTTTTGTGCTCCTTGTTTAACTTGCTAGTTTAATATCAAAGAACCGACCTGCTGTGCCAGGGTAAGATGACAATGCTGTTAAGATTAGATAGTGAAGTGACAAGACAGAAAGTTACTTATTGAAACTCAAATGACTGCTGAATTCTATCAAACTCTACCTTATTCATGTCAAAAAGACCTCAGAATTCATTTCAGCGAAGATGAACAAATCTGCATAAACATGGAATCAATGCTCTCTTAACCCTTCTTCTGTCTGATCAAGTTTCAGTCTGCACATCTCCCTGTGATTGAGTGAGAAAGAGGTCTGGAAGAATAAGATATTTTTGTCCTTTACAAGAAACAGTTAGACTAACCTAATTTTTGTTTCTTCTCTCTTTGCTCCAGATTTCCACACCCATACAATTGAGCTTTCTTCAAGACCTTGTTATGGCTTAAGCTGAGACTTAAGTTACAGCACCATTGACTGAGAGAGTGTAAACATCAGAAATGTTCCCTGAGTGCTTCCCTTGCTTGTGTGCTCATTTGAGCTAAGAAAACTGACAAAGGATTTTTGGAATTTAGGCAGATGAAACATTTTATAAGAAAAGCAAATGCTGTGGCAGCCCAGAGCAAATGTTACCGAGTAGGACTGATGCAAAATATGTCCTTTTTCAGTGAGGAGTCAAAGTTATAGACCAACTCTTTTATAACATTATCTTTGTGCTGACTGTTCACAATAACATCCTGAGCAGTACAAAACCCTCACTAATTGCCTATTAACTGGGCCATGTGTATCACATCTTACAATTAGCAAATTTGATTATGCATTTAAAACAATCTTTATCTAGAAATAGAAACTCTTACTGAGCTCTCTTCATCGGCTTCTGTTTTCTTTATTTAACCTAATTGAAGGCTGCTTTAAAATGTATTGGTGACATCACCATTTGGGTAAGATTCTGAACTGATGGTTCTGGGGTCCAAACTTTGGAAATCAATGAAAGTTCTTTTCGAAGCCTGAAATTACCTTTTCTTGCAACTTTTTTCTTCATTTAAAATTGCTAATCCTATGGGATTGATAGTTCAGGCATCTCCTCAAGCCCGAAGCCTCCTTTGCCCATAGATATGGCATTGTTGTGAAACAAGAACAAACTAATAAGTGATAATTTTAAATCAGTGCATCATTCTTATGTACAAAATTGCTTCAATTTAACTCTGCCAGGGCAATAACACTTTGCTTTTTAGAGCTGTGGATAGCACACATTGGTCTTTCTGGAAGCTGCTCTAGGCAATAGGTTTGTGACTGAAGCATTTAATGCAGCTCCATTGTCATATTGCCAGTCTCAGGAATACTTGGGCAGTGCTCTGGAGTGCTTTGGACCTTGTTTTCCCCCCGAGGCCAAGAGAAGTGGTAGACCCCCAGGGGTGGAAACCCCTGGAAGTTTTGAAGTTCTGCCCAACGGGGGCTCCTGCAAGATGAAAGCATGTCCCAAGCACCGGAAGAGAAGGGTTGTGGTTTGGTTGTTGTGAGACCACGAGGAAGGGGCTCGGAGCCCTTTGGGCCCTCGGGGGCCTCCCAGCCCCTGGCTGGGGGGGCTGCAGAGACTGGGAGCAGTGGTAAGCTGGACTAAGTGTCTGTAGC